GAGCCAAGACTTGGTCCAGGCCCTGGAGATTTGAATGTTATCTGTGAGTCGTATTGTTTGGGTATGTCCCTATCATCCTGGCTGCCTGCTAGCACCTTGCATGCCAGGAGACTGACAGATTCACTCAGACTTGTTTTTGCAGCCCGTGACAGCTTGTTCTCTCTCCCTCTCTCTCTCTCTCTCTCTCTCTCTCTCTCTCTTTCCTGCCAGCCTTAAAAGAAGACTTCCAGAACAAATTTCTGGCGGGAAAGAAATCAGACCAGCCGGGTCTGCCGCAAACACTACAACAAGAGTTTTCCCTGATCAACGTGCAAATCCGAAATGTCAATGTGGAGGTACTGAGGCCAGTTGCTCTCAATGGTTCCTATATTGGACTATGGATGCAGGAGGTTCTCTGAGCCAGATAGTAGGAAGGCAGGGTGTAATCCCAGACCACAGGTACTGAGGAATAAGGCTGATTAAGTAGAATCAACACAGTAGGGATTTAAAATCTTGAATGCACTCTCCCCTGTAGCTGTTTTCCTGGTAGAATGGAAAAAATTGGCAGGAAAAAAGACAGCTGCTGTAAGAAGATTCCTGGTATTGACACAGCAGTGGATCCAAGGCTTGGATTCCAGGCCAGGGGCAAGCTTCAGGAACTAAAGAGACTGAGGGATTGATTCTGAATGGCTTATGCCCATCTCCTGACTGGCAGTACTGAAAGTGGCCACAGAAAATGGGGAGCCCAGATTCTTTTCCCATACCAAGCCAGCAGAGAACTGCCAGCCCATGAGCCCAGTGGGCCATGAACATTCTTTACAGCAATACAGTCAGCTCCAACTTAACACTCTTAATTGGTTCCTGAAAAACCGAGCGTTAAGTAAAACGAGCTTTAAGCAAAACTGAAACCATTTGGTGACCCAAGATGGTGACCGCAATTGTTTTTAATGACCCAAGACGGTGACTGAGTGTTTATAATGAAACTTGCTGAGCGCTAAGTGAAATCGGGCATAAATTTTAAATGTGTTATAGTGAAATAGCGCTAAGTGAAACAGCGTTAAGCGGGGGTTGCCTGGAGTCTAATGAGGTTGAAGAATAAAAGCACCCCTCAGATAATACCAGCTCTTAGTTTTCACTCATTTTTTACTATGGAAAAAAAATTAAGCATTTTTTCTGTTGTAAAGAGTTTACAAAGACTGTTCCAGAAGGTTTTTTGACACTATGAATTCCTATTTGAAATCTCTGTTTATCTTGTAAATCGGGTGTTTGCAGACATAGTGCTGCATAATATTGGCATTTTTGTAGCACCCTTAAAAGAACACATTACAGGTTGCCATGGTACCCTAGTTGTGAATAGCTGCTTACAGTCTGGTAGTAGCTAAAGAAATTTACTGAGATCAGGGCTCATAGTGCTAGGCATGATATACACACCTTATGAGATCTTATCCCAAAGACTTATAGGCTTGGAGACCAGACAAATGGCGAGAAGGGAAATTGGAAGCACAAAGGATGTATCATGTTCCAGGTCACATAGCAAGTCAGTGGTAGCATTAAGACTAGAACCTGGATTTCATGAGTTCCAGACCAGTTTGCCTTGTCCATTAGCTCACACTGTCTCTTGGTGTTTGAGTAGGCCTCACACAGCAAGTATCTATCTGTGGGTAGAGCCTGTGAAGATAAGGCACAGTTATGCAGCTGGGATAGAAACCCTGGGGCAGATGGTATGGTCTGCTGTCATTACAGGGAAAGTTGTCTTGATCTTGTCTTGTTTCTTTCTGTTAGATGTTGCTGGTTTATTCCTGGAGCCAAAGGGTCACAATCTCCCAATTTTATCTACTAGCCCAGAAGCTCCTCACTGCATAATGAAATGGAAAAGAAGTTGGGGACTAGGTCATAGAAACATAGAATCGTAGAAAATTAGGGTTGGAAGAGACCTTGGGAGGTCATCTAGTCCAACCCCCTGCTCAAAGCAGGACCATCCCCAACTAGATCATCCCAGCCAAAGCTTTATCTAACTGGGTCGTAAAAAGCTCCAAGGATGGAGATTCCACCTCCTCTGGGTAACCTGTTTGAGTGTTTTACTACCCTACTATTGAGGAAATTCTTCCTGATATCCAACCTAAACTTCCTTTGCTGCAACTGGAGACCATTGCTCCTCATTAAGTCATCTGCCCCCACTGAGAACAGTCTTGCTCCATCCTCTTTTGACCCCTCTTTCAAGTAGTTGAATGCTGCTGTTAAATCCCACCTTAGTCTCTTCTCTAGACTAAATAAGCCCAGTTCCCTCAGGCTGTCCTCATAAGTCATGTGCCCCCACCTCCTCACCATTTTTGTTGCTCTCTGCTGGACTCTCTTCAGCTTGTCCACATCCTTTCTGTAGTGGGGGGCCCAAAACTGGACACAGTACTCCAGATGTGGCCTCACCAGTGATGAATAAAAGGCAATAAGGTCCTTTGACCTACTGGCAACACGCCTACCAACGCAGCCCAGTATGCTGTTGGCCTTCTTGGCAACTAGGGCACACTGTTGGCTCATATTCAGTTTGTCCACTGTAACCCCCAGGTCCTTTTCTGCAGAGCTGCTGCCCAGCTAGTCAGCCCCCAGCATGGGATTGTCCATCCTAAGTGCAGGACTTGGTACTTGTCCTTCTTGAATCTCATGAGATTTCTTTTGGCCCAATCCTCCAATTTTTCTAGGTCACTCTGAATCCTAGCCCTACTCTCCAGCGCATCTGCTACTCCCCACAGCTTGGTGTCATCTGCAGACTTTCTGAGAGTGCACTCTGTACCATCTTCCAGGTCACTGATGAAGACATTAAATAAAACCGGCCCCAGGAGCAACCCCTGGGCATTCCACTTGATACCAGCTGCCAACTAGACATTGAGCCATTGATTACTACTTTTTGAGCCTGATGCTTCAGCCAGATTCCTGTCCACCTTACAGTCCATTCATCCAGCCCATTCCTTAGCTTGCCTGTGAGAATGTTGTGGGAGACCATATCAAAAGCCTTGCTAAAATCATCCACATAGCCAGTCACCTCATCATAAACAATCAAGTTGGTCAGGCATGACTTGCCCCTGTTGAATCCATGCTGACTGTTCCTAACCACCTTTTTCTCCTCCAAGTGCTTAGAAATGGATTCCTTGGATCCATTCCTTGCTTCTTCTCCATGATTTTTCTGAGGACTGAGGTGAGGTTGACTGGTCTGTAGCTCCCTGGATCCTCCTTCTTCCCTTTCTTAAAATGGGCACTATGTTTGCCCTTTTCCAATCATCTGGGACTTCTGATTGCCATGAATTTTCAAAGATTGATGGCCAATGGCTCTGCAGTTGTATTGGCCAACTACCTCAGCACTCTCGGGTGCATCCCATCCAACCCAATGGACTTGTATATGCCCGGCTTCTCTAAATAGTCCCTGCCACTATTGGCTGCTCACCTCCCCCCCCCAAACTTGTGCTGCCCAGTGCAGTAGTCTGGGAGCTCACCTTGCCTGTGAAGACTGGGGCAGGATAGGCATTGAGTACTTCAGCCTTTTCTGCATCCTCTGTTACAAGGTTGCCTCCCCCATTCAGTAAGGGACCCACACTTTCCCTCTCTTGCTACTGACATACTTGTAGAAACCCTTCTTGTTACCCTTTGCATCCCTTTTAACCACAACTCCAATTGCACTTTGGCCTTCCTGACTTCATCCCTGCATGCCCGAGCAATGCTCTTATATTCTTCCCTAGTTATTTGTCCAACTTTCCACTTCTTATAAGCTTTTTTTTTTTTTTGTGATTTAGTTTACTGAAGATTTCCCTGCTAAGCTAAGCTGGTCTTCTGCCATACTTGCTAGTCTATCTGTGCATCGGGATGGTTTGTTCCTGTACTCTCAGTAAGATTTCTTTAAAGTGTAACCAGCTCTCCTGGACTCCACTCCCCCTCAGACTGGCTTCCCAAGGGATCCTGCCCATGAGTTCCCTAAGCAAGTTGAAGTCTGCTTTTCTAAAGTCAAGGTCAAGGGTCAGCAATGTCTTGAAGCATGGAAATGTTTTAATGCTTAGCTGTCAATAGAGGCCACTTTGAACTTGGTCCACACTACTACAGTTGCAGTCCCTGCTATCCCATCGCCACCTCAGTGTTGCTGCTACTGCCTCTCCTCAACACTGGGCTAAGCCCCCCGCAGAAGGCCAAAATGCCACAAAAAGGCCCCCCAGCTCCGTGGGTTGGATAAAATGGGTCTTCAGGGTGAATTCATCCTCTGGACCATAGGTTGCCAGTCTCTGAAATAGGTGGTCAGATGGTGAATGCTGAATTAATTCTGTTTGCCTGAGGCTTCTGCTGTTTGTCTGTGTTTGCAGCTCTTGCATATGGTGTGGGGTTTCAATCTTATGCATGCAGAGAGACCATGCCCCTCGGAATGAATTTCAGCCATTATATGTTTAAAGGTACTTGGCAGCCTAACTGAAAATCGGTTGTTCTTTCTTTCACAGATGGATGCAGGGAATCGTAGCTGCACAGTGTCTGTACACTGTGGCAGCCACATAGTCACAATGCTGGTGATGTTCCCTGTGCAGTATCCCAATAATGCTGCACCTTCCTTCCAGTTTGTCCAGCATACCAATATCACTCCCCCAATGAAAACAAAGCTGCTGAAGGTATGTGTATGCATGTATATGTGGTCTCTGTACAAGTACTTCCTTGTGTCCAGACTGCTGCAGTGACATGTTTGACTTCTCAGATCCATGACTGGGTCAGTGACCACTGACTGCACTTAGACATTGTCACTCAAGAGTTGATGTACTCCAGAACTTGGCATGAGTTTCATTAGCACTGGTTAGGCCTCATCTAGAGCAGTGGTTTTCAACCTTTTTTGTACCAGGACCTATTTATAAACATCAATGGCTAGTCCTGACCCAGTAAATAGATAGATAATCAGATAATCTAGATAGAGGCTAGATAATCACCTAGCTGGGGTCATTTGACCCCAGCCTTCTTTCCTGCCCATGGCAGGGGGTCGGACTTGATGACCTGCTCAGGTCCCTTCCGACCCCATCAACTACATGCACTGAGCCGCTACTCTACCAGCCACCATGGCCCAGCCACAACTCCCCTCAGGCCACCCATTCTGCCTGTCGCCCCACCTCCTCACCAGGCACAGAACCATGACCTGAGGCAGAAGGAGATTAGAGCAGCAATGCCAACCCCGCCTTTGGGCCTTCCGCAGTCCATTACCCCTTGCACTGCTGGTGGCATGGATGGTGTGAGGGTCCTGGCAGTAGCAGCAATGAATCTTGCTGCTCTGCTCTCCTGCACTGGATCCTGCCTGCTGGGCCATGGAGGCAATTCCTGCATGTGCTGGTCTTGCCAGGCTGCAGTCCCGTGCTGGCTGCGGGCACACAAACCTGGAAGGGGCACGTGCCTCCCTACGCTCATCAACATATCACCTGTACCTTCTGTGGCAGAATGCCATCTGTCTCTCCCCAAACTCTGCTATCAGGTGGGTGACCAATCTGACAGTTTGGTTACCGTGGCCACTGAAGAGGGCAGATACCCCAGGCCCTGTCGGCTTCAGGTAACCCCGAGTTGTAACCTGAGCTGGATACGTTCCTGAGGGAGAGGGGAAACCTCTCGCCTGGGTGGGGTCTTAAACTCTTTATTGTTCTAAGCAATGTCATCATGACTGGAAGGGGGTTAGAGACCATGCCAGTCTACCTGGCAACCAGTGATGCATTTCAAATTGGTTGGCCGGCAGCCAACAGTGGCTGGCCTTCATTGGATCAAGTAAATGAGGTCATAAAGTCTCTATATAAGTGACGGACTGCCCAGGAAGCGGGGCAGCAGCCATGATGAGAATTCTCAGAGAAGCTGGACCATCTGAAACTCACTCTTTCTCTTGAAACTCATGGCCAATGAACTGCTTGCCTCCAAAGGAAATCTCCACCTGCCTCTGGATGATACTTGTGAGTAAGCTACTTGAGATCTAACTAGATATAGCTTGCAGTAACACAGATGCATAATCAAAGGCGACCATGCCACTGTTTGCTCTAAGGGATTTCTCTGATATTGCTGTACCCTGTTCCCTATTCCAAACCTACTCCTTGTAACCTATAAAGTTCTCCTTTGTACCTAGCGTGGGAGACTTACTGAGAGAGGGGCTAGATTATGCCTTGGGGTCCCCTTGGTTCAGCTGATTAAGGGAGACTACTATTTGTGCTTCAGACTAAGGGAAGCACCCCAGGTTCTTGCAGTGGGTCAAGTACCTTCAAGAACTACTAGGCCTGTGTTTCGCAGAGGGCACAGGGGCAAGATCAGTCCAGACCTTGGGTGGTGGCAGCGTTACCCCCAGGCTTGTGGCTGTGCTCCAGGAAGGGGGTCAGCCGGATGTGAGGTGCCCCCAGGGAGGCACTCAGAGCCTGGAAGGTGGTAGGGCGCAGTGAGGCGGGTGGCTCAACACAGGAGCACCCCCTACTGGCCCACCACACCCCCATCACCCTTCTGTGTTGCCTGTGCCCCACCTTGCCCCATAGACTTACCTGCAGGGAGCTGTGGGAGCTGCTTTCCATGCTACCTGGCTGCCACGTGCATGTGTGTGCACACATACACATGGTATCCCTGCTTGATTCTTTCTCCCACTGCCCCAGCCCCAAGTAGCCCCTTGCAGGCTCACTCTGCCAGACTGCAAGGGGAACCTGCTGTTTCCCAAGTTTTTCTCCTTTTTAAAATAAAAAATCCATGTTTTTCCATTGCAAATGGAGAACCCAGATCCCTGTTTATTAGTATGCACAGCATCAACATATAGTGAAGCACAAGCAGCATCTATTTTTTTTCAAAATGCAAAACATGGTCCATTTTTAAGTGCGTTTTGTGACCCTTTCATATATTCTTACGACCCACTTCTGGGTCACAACCCACGGGTTGAGAAACTCTATTTTAAAGTACTGTATGTGATATTGGTCTCTGCGTTTTTAAAAAAGGACATGGAGAAGTTAAGGTTTGCAGGCAGGTGACAAATGATAAAGGGCTTGGAAGGCAAGCCATATGAGGGAAGGTTGAAAGAAATAGGCATGTCCAGCTTACAGAAAGGGTGACTTATGATGGTAACCAAATATCTGAAGGGCTGCCATAAAGAAGAGGGAGAATGCTGTTACTGTGGAGAACAGGATGTGAACCTATGGCTTAAAGTTGTAGCAGAGTAGATTGGATATAAAGAAAAACTTCACTGTTAAGAGTGAGGCAGTGAAATAGACTGAATAGGGAAGTTGTGGACTCTCCATCGTTGGAGGTTTTCAAGAAGAGGTTGGATAGCATTGATCAGGAATGATCTAGGAGTAGCTGTGCCTTGAGTGCTCTGTAAAAAGCAACAGTTGAAAACCCAGGAGCCTTGCTCACCTCCCACACATCACTGGGAGATAATGAGAAGAACTCTGTAGCTTAGAGATGGATACTGGCAATTACTACATTCAGCAGCAGGTGAACAAAACAAATCCACAACTGGCTTTATTATGAAAGAAGGTTAAAGGACCTGGAATAAGATTATGGAGTGGATACAGAAGAGTTTGGGCTGTCTGGTAAGGAAGTGTGATGTGTGGAATTATGCTTGCTGTCCCCAGGCTGCAGAACAGAATGGAGGTTGTTTAGTGTTTTCCATGCGGTGGGCTTTGCTACTCGCCGGAAAGATTTTTTTTTTCTTCTGTTGCTACAGGTGTCATGGGAGTGGGGGGTGTCCCTTCCTCAGATGCACTGGGTGCTGGCTGCAGCCAAGGCTGGGAATTTTGGCTGGTGTATGCCAGTGTTCCTACTGGGACTAAAATCCTGGCTAGAGGGACACCACCTTTTCTCTGTTGCTACAGAGAATAAAATGTGGATCAATGACTTGCAGTTGCTACCAAGTAAGTTTAGATTGGATGTGAGGAAAAAGAGGTAGTGGAACAGGCTGCTTAGGGAAGCTGTGGAATCTCCATCATTGGAAGTGTTCAAGAAGTGGTGGGTCAGGGTGATCTAGGCATAACTATGCTTATGTTCTACTCTGGGGAATCTCCCATGTTTCTGGGCCTTGCCAATTGCCACATAGGGCCAGGAGGGAATTTTTTCCCGTCCTGCTGCTATATGCACCAGGATCTTTTTAACCTTCCTCAGAAGCACTGGGTGTTGGCTGCAGCCAAGGCTGGAGACTTTGATTGGGGCATGCCAGTGCTCCTGCTGGAACTGAAACCTAGAGGTTCTTGGCTAGAGGGTCTTGCCCCTGTGTTCAAGGTTAGACTGATTTGCCACATTTGGGATCAGGAAGGAATTTTACTCTGTGGTCAGACTGGTATGGACTGTGGAGGGGCGTTTGCCTTCCTCTATAGTGGGTGAGCATGACTCTCTCTCTTGGAGCGCTCCAGTATATTTTAACAATGCTTGTGGCAGCAGAATACCAACTGTTGTCCCCCTGTTCCACTTGTAAGAGTCTAGGGTGCTGTGCAGGCAGGGGGCTGGATTAGATGATCTCCTGAAGTCTCTTCCAGGCCTACTTTTTTCTTTGATACTTTGATTTAAAAGGGAGAGTTTGAGTGCAGTAAGGTGAAAAATTCCTGGGCTTGTAGTTTGTCTATCTTTGGTACTTTTCTTGTCCTAAGGCTCCTAAGGTCTGAGCACTTCACAGCTTTTAATGAACTTATCACGACCTCCCTGTAAGGGAAGGCAGTCCTCTGTGCCACTAAAGTGATTTAGTGGCCACGGTCATGCAGGAAGTCCTGAATATAGAAGTGAACTGAACCTAGGTCTCCCAAGGCATAAGTTAGTGTCCCAACCTTTTTTTGAATTGCAGTACTGCAGTTACTTGTTCTTCCTGAGAGAGTAGGGTAATCGGTTAGTCACCTCGAGTGTCTGTACACAAGTGCACGGAGCCTGGGAAACAAGCAGGAAGAATTAGGTGTCCTTGCACAATCATGGAGCTATGACATGATTGGAATAACAGAGACTTAGTGGGAGCTCGCATGACCGGAGCACTGTTATGGATGGGTACAAACTGTTCAGAAAGAACAGGCAAGGGAGAAGAGAAGGAGGAGTTGCACTTTATGTAAAAGAGCTGTATGATTGCTCAGAGCTCCAGTATGAAGTTGGAGATACTCTCCCCTCTAACCTTAACCCAGATAGGCTTGTTGAAAGTAACAAGGGTGATGTTGTGACGGGTGTCTGCTATAGTCCACCAGACCAGGAGGATGAAGTAGATGAGGCTTTCTTCAGGCAACTAATGGAAGTTTCCTGATCACAGGCCCTGGTTCTTACGGGGGACTTCAGTCATCCTGACATCCACTGGGAGTGCAATACAGCAGTGCACATGCAATCCAGGAAGTTTTTGGAGAGTGTTAGAGACAACTTCCTGGTGCAAGTGTTGGAGAGACCAACTAGGGGCTATGATCTTCTTGGCCTGTTGCTCACTAATAGGGAAGAATTGTTGCAGGACGTAGAAGTGGATGGCAAGTTAGGCAGCAGTGACCACGAGATGATCAAGTTCAGGATCCTGACAAAAGGAAGAAATGAGAGCAGCAGACTATGGACCCTGGACACCAGAAAAGCAAATTTTGACTCCCTTGGGGAACTGATGGGCAGGATCCCCTGGGAGGCCAGTCTGAGGGGAGAAAAGGAGTCCAGGAGAGCTGGTTTTTGTTGTAAAGAAACCTTACTGATTGCAGGAACAACCCATCCTGATGTTCAAGAAGACTAGCAAATGTGGCAAACAACCAGCTTGGTTTAACAGAGAACTCTTCAGTGAGCTTAAACACAAAAAGGAAGCTTACAAGAAGTGGCAGCTTGGTCAAAACTTGGGAGGAGTATAAAAATATTGCTCAGGTATGTAGGGATGAAGTCAGGAAGGCCAAAGTGCAACTGGAGTTGCAGCTAGCAAGGGACATGAAGGGTAACAAGAAAGGTTTCTACAAGTATGTTAACAATAAGAAGAAGGTCAGGGATAGTGTGGATCCCTTACTGAATGGGGGAGGCAACCTTGTGACAGGTTATGGGCAAGGATTCTGGTTTTCTCTTTTTTTATTTTATTTTTAATCCCCAATTTATATATTAGTGGTGTTTCATTTTAAATTGTGGAACTGTGGATTTGGGGTTACTTTTTTTTAATCTGAAAATTGTGGATTTTATTTAAATTGGAGAAAATCAGGATCCCTGGTGATGAGGAAAAGGGTGAAGTACTTAATGCCTTTTTTAAACCTTGGTCTTCACAGGCAAAGTCAGCTCCCAGACTACTGCACTGGGCAGCACAGTTTGGGGAGAAAGTGAGCAGCCCTCAGTGGTAAAAAAACAAAAAAACCCAACAAAAAAAACCAGGATGGGGACTACTTAGAAAAGCTGGATGTGTACAAGTCCATGGGGCCTGATGCAGTACATCCAAGGGTGCTGAGAGAGTTGGCTAATGTGATTGCAGAGCCCCTGACCATTATCTTTGAAAAACTCATGGTGGTTGGGAGAGGTCCCACATGATTGGAAAAGGGCAAATATAGTGCCCATCTTTAAGAAAGGGAAGAAGGAGAATCCAGGGAACTACAGACCAGTCAGCCTCACCTCATTCTCCAGAAAAATTATGGTGCAGGTCCTCAAGGAATCCATTTTTAAGCACTTGGAAGAGAAGGTGATTAGGAACCGTCAGCATGGATTCACCAACGGCAAGTCATGCCTGACCAAGCTGATTTGCCTTCTATGATGAGGTGACAGGCTCCATGGATGTGGGGAAAGCAGTGGATGTGATATACATTGACTTCAGCAAGGCTTTTGATAACGTCTCCCACAGGATTCTTTCAAGCAAATTGAGGAAGTATGGGTTGGATGAATGCACTGTAAGGTGGATAGAAAGCTGGCTGGATCGTCAGGCTCAACAGGTAGTGATCAATGGCTCAACATCTAGCTGGCAGCCAGTATCAAGTGGAGTGCCCCAGGAGTCAGTCCTGGAGCCAGTTTTGTTTAATATCTTCATTAACGATCTGGAATATGGGATGGAGTGCACCCTCAGCAAATTTGCAGGTGACACCAAGATGGGGGCGTGTAGTAGATGCACCTGAGGGTAGGGCTAGGATTCAGAGCGACCTAGGCAAATTGGAGGATTGGGCCAAAAGAAATCTCATGAGGCTCAGCAAGGACAAGTGCAAAGTCCTGCCCTTAGGATGGAAGAATCCCATGCGCTAGTACAGACTGGCACTGACTAGCTGAGCAGCAGCTAAGCAGAAAAGGGCCTGAGGGCTACAGTGGACAAGAAGCTGGATTTAAGTCAGCAGTGTACCCTTGTTGCCAAGAAGGCTAATGTCATACTGGCTGCAATGGTAGGTGTGTTGCCAGTAGGTCAAGGGAAGTGATTGTTCTTCATTGGTGAGGCCATATCTGGAGTAGTGTGTCCAGTTTTGGGCTCCACACTAGAATGATGTGGACAAGTTGGAGAGAGTCCAGCAGAGGGCACCAAAAATCATTTAGGCACATGACTTCTGTGTAGAGGCTGGGGGAACTGAGCTTATTTAGTCTGCAAAGGGAAGACTGGGGAGGGGATTTGATAGTAGCCTTTAGCTATGTGAAGTGGGGTTCCAAAGAGGATGGAGTTAGACTGTTCTCAGTGGTGACAGATGACAGAAGAAGCAGCAATGGTCTGAAGTTGCGGTAAGGGAGGTTTAAGTTGGCTATTAGGAAAAATTTCCTCACTAGGAGGATGGTGAAGCCCTGGAACAGGTTACCTCAAGGGGTGGTGGAATCTCCATCCATGGTTGGAATGATCTAGTTAAGGATGGTTCTGCTTTGAGCAGGGGGTTGGAATAGATGACCTGAAGTCCCTTCCAACCCTGATTTTTTTCCCTATGATTCTAGTGAATAGATAGGATGTGTGCTAGGTGTTGTACAAGCGCAGAGCATGTACCATCCCTGTCCTCAGGAGACTAGTGGCTTCATCCTTCTGTCTCAGTACTGTGCATTTCTCTAGTATAGTGGTTCTTTATCTTGTTAAAAGGTAAGGTACCCCATGTTAGATTCAAGGCACACCTCTGAAAATGCCAGCTCTTGGCTATGACTTGGAGGGTTTTTCTCCACTACAGAAAAATAGAGCAATTCTTCTGTTGCAAAGAACTCAGACCACAGCTGGTCAGAAACAGTGGATTCCTGTTTTTAAATCACTGAGCATTTTGTTTATCTTGTGTATTGTTTAGATCGGGGGCGGGCAAAATACAGCCTGTGAGCTGACTCCAGCCCACCAGATGCTTTCATCTGCCCTGTAGGCACCCACCAACGAATTGTAACCCACCCAGCCCTTCTGCGCATGAAGGTGGGAGCAAGGTGTCCAAGTATACATTCCTCATCCCAAATGTACTCTGTTGTTCCTCGCTCCCACCCTCATGGGTGGAAGGGTCCTGCCCAGCCAGCAGTAGCTTCTGGGTGAAGCTGCTGCTGCTGCTGTTGCAGCCACCCCCAGGGACCTGCTTGGCTTCCCTGGCATCCCACTTGCTCTGGGCACCAGGTAGGGAAGTGGCAGGGGTGGGGGGAACTGCAACTGGGTGAGGCATGGGGCTAGGACTGGTGGCAGTGCGGAGCCCACACCCAAGGGGGCAGTGGGAGCGTGGAGCTCAGCTGGGCGGGGTGGGAGGGTGTAGGAACCCCACACACACTCCCACACATGGTGCAGAGCCCCCACTGCCAGCAGCAGCAGGCGGGGGTGCTTGGGGTGTTCGTGTCCTGCACAGGCGCTGGCACCCAGTAGCACACAGCTCTAGCCAGCACTGCACATGGAGGTGAGCGCAGCCTGCCCAGCCCACATCTAATCCAGCCCCACACTGGATCCAGCTGCCTTCCTTGCCCTCTGCTGCACAGGTCCCAGGACTCCAGCAGGAGTAGAGGGAGCTGTGCCCCCTACTTTCTCACTGAGTCCCTGGACCTGTGTGGCAGGGGACAGGGAAGGCAGCCGGCTCCAGCGTGGGGCTTCCCTCTGCCACACAAGTGCAGGAGCTGCACACATGCTGCATGGAGACCCCACAATAGAGTCATGCTGTGCTTCTCATTGCTCACATGCACAGTGCTGGCCAGAGCCGAGCACCAGCATGTGCACGGGGGCTGCGTGCCATATGGGGAAGCGTGTGGGGGCTCCCCAAACCCCCTCCCCTTACCTCACAAACCTCACACTCACACCTTGCTGCCACACCCCCTCACAAACCCCCCATACACACACATGCACCACCTCACACCCGACCATACACGCTCGCATGCATCCCCTACACCTCACCCCTGCGTGCGCACACACACACAATACAAGAGTAAGACTTTATTTTTGAGTTATTATGCAATCCCCTCTATCTACAGTACTTAAACACAAATCATAACAAATATTTTTTATAATAAAATTAAGTTATAGTAGGTGTTTTACTTTTAGCGTATGATCTGGGGGTTTTTTCTGGTTCCAAGATGCCCCCCAGAAATACTCCTTTTGAGAGGGGAGGGTTGCCAAGGGGAGAGATGTCTGGTGGCAGAAGTCAGGGGGGGAGGGGAGAGTAGAGGGCAGGACTTCCAGTATGGCAAACAGGGGACAGGGCAGCTTGTCAAGGGGCAGGGCTACCCATGCAGCCCTAAACACCTCACCAAAACTCATTAAGTGGCCTTTCAGCTGAAATAATTGCCTACCCTGGTGTAGATGTTTGCACAACTAAGGATACTAATGTTGTATGACATCCTAAAAAGGGTGTCATGGCACTCTTGAGAATTGCATCTTTAGAATCTTTCAGTTTGGGTGACAACTGCTTAGTATGAGGATAAAATCATTCTCTACTAGGGTGGGTGGGTGGGTATATATTCATCCTGTTTGGACAAAAACGGGTAAATAAGAACATAATAGCTGTGACCTTCCATAGGATCACACTGCAAATTGGTGGGAGAACCAGATATGGAACCCAGAGGGTCTGGCAACTAGCTGTTACAACTTACTAACAAGATCTTTCTTCCTCAAAGTGGAGAACAGTTCAAGGGGTCATTTTGTCTTAGCTGAGGGTTACTGACCCTTCAGTATTCCCATGGTCTTGCAGTTTCACTGCTTTTTGCAGATGAAGGGCTAGAACAGAAGCATGGGCATGATGACTAAGATGACTCAAGCTGTATGTTATTCCCGTTGCAGGTCTTACAGGACACTTCTTTGCAGAAAGTGAAACGGAACCAGAGCTGCCTGGAGCCTTGTTTGCGTCAGCTGGTTTCCTGGCTAGAGTCTGTTGTGGTATGAAGAACTTCATGCTCTTTCTGGTTTTTTGGGTTGTATTGTCTCTCATTCTCCATACATACTCTCATTCACATGTACTTGGCACGTGACCTTAGGCAATTTCTGTTTCAGAACCAAGAAGACAGCACCACCAGCAATCGGTATGCTCTAGCAAACTCTGTAACACCACCCTTGCCTACATTCGCCCGGGTCTCCAATGCCTACGGGTCATACCAGGATTCCAACATCCCCTTTCCACGGACCTCTGGAGCCAGGTTCTGTGGTGCAGGTTGGTCCCATTGTTGATGCATTAGAACAGTTGCCATGGGGAAAAGCTCAGCCTTGTATATCTGGAGATACCCCTGGATTGTGAGCATTTACTGCAAAATGAGATTAAGCTTTGGTCACTATCCCATATTGTAAAGGGGTGCTGGTACAGTGCCAGTGGTGGCATGTACACAGTGGCTCTAGTTTGCAGGTAAATTTCAGTTCAAGTGCTGGTTATCGTTTTGATATCTGGAACTGGGAGACCATGATTAACTGAAAATATCTAGAGCTTCATGCAGATGGTAGAGATGCTAGCTCTTGGGAGAGGGGGAGAGTGAGGTTGTGTGCTGGTGCCTCTGGCTTGCAACATGCTGTATTAGCACAACACCTCTGTAGCAAAGATTTGGGATTGCCATACCTGCCCCTGATTGTGATCAGGGGGCAAAGAGCAGCCTTGCTTTTTGCATTATGCTGCATCTGATCTGGCGTTCCTGCCACACTCTTCACAAAGCTCCTATGAGAAGAAAAGGGTGAAAGCCTACTCTCCTCAGCACCTCACTGAAACCTTGCCTACCTGTGTTGCAGACCAGTAGGGATATCCTGCGCTGAGCCACCCACCTCACTGCACCCGACCACCTACCAAGCTTCAAGTGCCTCCTCTGGGCTGCCTCATGTCTGGCTGACCCCCTTCCTAGAGCACGTTCAAAAGCGTATAGATTCATAGATGTTAGGGTCGGAGGGGACCTCAATAGATCATCGAGTCTGACCCCCTGCATAGGCAGGAAAAAGTGCTGGGTCTAGATGACCCCAGCCAGATGCTTATCT